TTTTTTTGCCTCGTTTTTCTTTTTTTTTTCTTTTTTTTTTTTCCCCCCCCCTCCCCTCCCCTCCCGTAACAGAGCAAATGAACACAGATTGTTTCTTCAGCAAAATATGAAACTGTAAACTTTGGGCTCATTCTGCAACTTTTCCCCCCCCCGTCCATAAACAACAAAAGAAAAAACCCCAACTCGGGAAGAAAGACTCGACGTACATTTTTAAGCGCACCTCCTCCGTCTAGTACAAAAGCACAACCTAAAACGTATAAAGCTTTTTTCTCCTCTTTTTTTTCTTTTTTCTCAATTTTTTTTTTTTTTAAATCACGGTTACCCCAAAAAAAAGAAACGGTGAATAATTTCTTAACATACGCTAGAATAACATTACTCTAAACAGCTACTCTCTATGAGGTATATCTGAGAAAACTCGGTGAGGGAGTGCACGGCCTGCCTTTGCCAACGTGCCCGGTTTGGAATAAAGCTTTGGAACCGTGGAAAGAGAGAGAGAGGGAGATCGGGGAGAGGGAGGAGAAGGAGAGCCTTTGGTATTTTCAGGAGTCTGTCCTTTGCAGGGCTGCAAAGCACCACAGTACAAAGCCCACCAGTGGCGGCCCAGTGAAGCTGAGGTATTCACAGGAAGAATTAATAAAAAAAAAACCAAAAAAAAAAAGCACAGAGAGAGGTTTCTAAGACTGGCAAAAAACGGTTTTTTGCTTTGGTTCAAGCAAAGGCACTCGTCCCGTGGTGAGAGCTGAGCCTGGTGGGAGCCGTGGGACCCTGCGGGACCTGCCGGGCCCTGGGGACGGGTCTGTGAGACCCGAGGGCACCGGGGCTCCCCCCGCCCCCAAGGCATCCTGAGAATTATTATAGCTTTGTATCGAAGGAACAGAGAGAGAGGGAGAGAGAGAGAGAGAGAAAAGCACACTTGTCACCCTCCTAACGCTTCCAACGCAGACCTAGAGCCCGAAAGAAGCCCAAAATCAAAGGCAATACTTAATTAAAGTATTTAATGGAGCGTTTGTGAATCCAAGGGCACGGCTCAGGCACGTTCCTCAGGGAAAGGCCCCGCAGCCTGGGCTGGGGGCTGAGGGGGAGCCCAGGGGCACAGAGCAGAGCCCAGGGGGACGTTGGTTCGGTGGCACAAACCAGGTGCCAAAGGGCACCGCTGATTCCCCGACCAGCTTGGAAATAAATCATCGCTCAGGAACGTGGTGCTAATGGAGCTTAATGTGGCCTCGCCTCATTGCCGGCTCCAGAGAAGTAATTAATTGATTTTTATGTGAAAACCGGAGTTGTAAACAACAGCCAAAGGTGAGGAGGAGGAGGGAGCAGCCCCTGGATCTGCTGTGCCCGCTGGGAGGGCCCCGGACCAGCCCGTGGGCTCTGCTCAAGCAGGAAAATAATAATTAGTGATGCTAATTGCACCCCACAATGGCTCAGGGGCACCTGAAGGGCCTTTCCTTGGGGAATCTCTGAGGGGTACAGCCTGGATTCACCCCCAGGGCAGCACAACCAGGGCACTGTGCCCACGTCTCCAAACGCCTGGGCTGGCAGGAAGGCAGAGGGGAACACGGAAAAAGGGCGTCACCAGGACTGGCAGCTCCCAGGGAAGCGTTTCTTTGGGAATGTGGGCTCAGCTGAGCGTCACTGAGGGCAGGGGGAGGCCGGGGGGAGCTGTGGGAGGGCACGAAGCAGGACGCAGACCGCGCTGGAGAAAGAAATCTTTGGTATCTTTGGTATCATCGACACGATTAAAATTACAAATGGAAAAGTCAGTGAGGTAGCCTCTTTGGTTCTCACTAGAAATACAAAGGTTTTTTTCTGTTTTTTTTTCTCTTTTTTCCTTTTTTTTTTTTCCTTTTTCTCTTTTTTTTTTTTCCACACGCAGAAGTTCATTCTTGGAAGCAGCGAGTTTAAGGGTTTCTCTCTTTTTGCTTGGCATGGATTATTTCACCCCCAGCTTAAGCTTTGAATAAGCCACAAAAGTTCAGGCAAAGTATCCCAGTGTCTTTTTTTTTTTTTTTAACACACAGTTTTTAGGTTTTGAGTATCCATTGCTTGTCCTCTGCTGCTCTTACAGGAGATCAGCTGTAGTGCTTTAGAGGTAATTCTAAATCAAAAAATAAAAACTCTACGAGGGGCATCCCGGGGTGGGGAGGAATAAGTTAAATGAATAAGTTAAATGAATAAGTTAAATGAATAAGTTAAATAAATTAGTTGTATTATGAAGGCTTCCTGTGCCATAATAAAGGTACGTCGCCCTTTCCAGTCGGATGGGAAGGGATTAACTTAAATAACTTAAACTTTGATACTTAATTAAAATTAATTAAAAGAGGGGATTAAAACTGGACTCCTGCTTCATGGAATGAGCAGGACCTGGCTGCTCTGGGAAGCAACACCAACTCTTCAGTGGGTTCACTGCCAGGCTTCGCATCTCTGATGCGCCGCAGCAGTCAAAGGGATAAATAAGCAAAATTAACCCCAAATGAGTCCATAAATGAGCAAATTAAACAGTTGCAAATAGCTAACAGTCTGCACTCAGGCAAAACTCCCACTGAACTGAAAAGCTCAAGTGCAACTCGACGGGATTCAGGCTGAACAGAGGTCTCAGGACCTGCCCTGAGACTAAATTAAATAAATTACATTATTGGGTAATAATAAAACCCACGAGTGTCTGGAAGAAAAAAAAAAACAAAACATTTTAAGCGAGGTTTGCTGGTTGGGTCCTTCTCAGGTCTTTGGATTCAGCTGTAGGTCAGAGAGCTCCAGGATAATAAAGCTATTCAACCGAAGCACATTCCTTGTTCCTTCGGGGGGGGCAATTAAATCCAAGGTTTCTTGGAAAGTTGGATTCATCTCGGCTGTGCCCACGCTTGGAACTCCCGAGTTCCCGGGCCGGGAGATGCTGGGATACTCTCTGTACACACCAGTCTTTTTGGTAGCAGGATAAATAAAGCGACAAGTTACAATCACACAGCTCTAGAGATTCATAAATATAGGGTGTGGAATCGGGATTTATCTGCTGGAGTTGGGATTAGGGCAGAATAGGGCACCTACTCTGCTCACCCACGCAGGGATCTCCCCCCACGGTCCGGGATTATGTAGAGGGAGCTGCTACATAAAAGCCAAGAGGGGGGCAGTGGGATGGGAGATGTCACAGGAGAGGGGCCAGGGATAAAAAATGCAGGATTTGTGGATGAAAATGATCTGTATTTGAGTGCCCAGCCCAGAGAAGCCTCGTGGTGTGTGTTTGTACTTTCACAGTTTGTTGTGTGAGGAGGAATTTGTAAATAATCGCAAAAGAGATTTTGTAAATGGTTCTGTAACTGAGCCAGACTTCCTCTGTCAGGGTGTTGGGAGGAGGAACTCTGGGCAGGAAACCTTCCCTGCCCTGAGCAGACAAGGCTTTTTGATTTTCTTTCTTTTTTTAAGGGCAATCATTGGGAAATGAGTGCAGCAGCTCTGTGAAGCTGTTAAAAAACCCTCCTTATTTAAAGGGAGAGAGGAGCAAGGGGGTACCACTGTGCTCCAGCTTTGGGGATATATTTGGACATGTCAGGATTCAGATCAACAAAATGATGTGTTTAATATGTCAAACCCACAAGAACTGCTGCAAACCTGCTTTTGGTTCAGGGGGAGGTTTGGTGCTGCCCGGCACTGACAGTGGCAGAAAATCATCCCCGTGGCAAGTTTTATCCCTGGGGAGGAGGAGACGGAGCAGTATCCCAACATCCTGCTCTTGGAATCTGTGCAGCTCTCGGAGAGGGCAGAAACAGGGAAAAAAACAAATAAACCCACCCTTTTTGGTTGCACAAAGACTCAGAAGTGTTACCTGTCCAGAGAGCAGTGGGGTTTATGTGCATTAGTCGTGCAAGAGGAGAAAACAAAACTGAAAACACAAGTGGTGAGAATCCTCATCTTTGGTATTGTAGCTGTTGAGGTTTCGGTTGCTCTGTTCCTTGTTCTTTTGGAAAAAACTGCATAGGCACAAATTAAAGACAATCTTCGACTTTAAGATGACTGGAGTTGTCAAATGAAGCAGCAATTTGTACTGGCTTTGCTTTGTTCTCGTTCTCGTCAACCCTTTCTTTGAGATCTGCTTCCGAAAACGTCCGAGACGTCTGTAAAACACAGTGTGGGACTCGTTTGCTTCCTGACGCGCTTCCTTCTTGTTGTATTTTTTTGTTTTTTAAATTTTTATTTTATCTCAGTTTGTTGCAGAAGAAGAAGAAGTAGGTGCAGAAAAAACGTTTCTTTGGTTTCGATTAAGTAGCACATTAAAAAAAAAAGTCTCAAGTGTCTCTTTAAAGGGCCGCGGGGCCGAGAGAGGGCTCGGAGCTCGGGGGGGCTTCCCCAACCACCCACACCGGGCCGTGGCGAGGAGAAACGGCGGGTTTAGGAACATCTTTGGCTTTGCAGAAATCCTGTCTCTTTGGTGTGCTGTGTTCCCGCCGGCTCGGGAAAAGGAATCAGGGGGACGCGGTGGGGTCGATGCGGCACGTCTGAAACGGGTGGTGGCATCCGGAGGGCTCCTTCCTGGGGGTGATTTTTTCCTGCTTGAAAGTACCATAAAACATCAAAAAAATAAACCTTTTTGGTTTCGGTAACAAGGAGGAGAAACCAGATTCAGGGAAACCAAAAGAATGACCTAAAAAAAATCCAAAGATCTTTGGAAACGTTGTAGTGTAGCAGTTCCATCGACCTCCTGAGTGTGCATGAGGTACAAACACAGACCTTGGGAGGAACTGCCAGCTGTGCTTGGGGCTCCCTGCGGCGTTCCCGGGATGTCCCAGCGCTGCGGCTACGGCTTTGTGCTTGATGCTTTGAGCTCGAGGGAACCGAACTGCTCCCATCCAAGATCGAGTTAAACTGAGGAAAACGAACTTAAAAAAAAAATTGATCTTTCTTTTTTCTCCTTAACGAAAACCACGCCTGAGTTTCAAACTTGGGTTCTTCGGCGCTGGGCTTTGTGCTCCGTTCCGGCGGGGCGGTGTGGCCAGCACACAGATCGGGAGAAACTCGCCTCGGGAACGGCTCCCCCCCGCCTTTTTTTCAGACCTGCCTCGCCCGTCCTGAGCTTCGCGTTGTTGTCCGGGGGGAGGTGGAACTGGCGCCTGCTGGGACCGACCGGGCTGGGGTGGTGGTGGTGGGAGGATTGTGCTTTAGAAGTCACCGGTGGAGGGCCCTGCGGGAAGCCAAGCCGCTCTCTCTGCCGTGCTGTGCCAGCCGTGGTGCCCCTCAGGCCTTGGGGCAGCCGCCGGGGGCCGAGGAGGAGCCCCCGGAGCTCAGGTCGTCCTGCCACTTCTCCAGGCTGCGCCGGCGGGCGTTCATGAAGAAGTTGCTGACGGTGGTGAGCTCCAGGCCCAGCTGCTGGGAGATGGTGATCTGCATCTCCTTGGAGGGCCGCTTGTTCTCCTTGAAGATGGCGAAGAGCGTCCGGCGCTGCAGGTCCGTGAACACCAGCCGGGATTTCTTCTGGGAGTTGTTCCGCTCCTTGCTGGGCTCTTGCTCTTTGCGTTTGCAGGCTGGGGAAGGGGTGGGCAGAGACAGAGAGAAAAGGGTCAGGTGGGGGCCACAGACCTGCCCGGTGGGTGTGGCACTTGTACATGAATTTTATCCCTTTAAACACCCCAAAGTAAACCCTGGTCAAAGCTTTGGGTGACCACCAAGGGCAAAACCCTGTCTGACAGCATGAACTGCCATGGCCCAGCTCAGCCTTCCAGGGTGGAGCTCTGGCACCACCTCCCCTTGGTCCTTCTGCAGTGTCACCACCCCCCCGGGGCACTTCTCCCATCTCCCGTCCCCCTTCCCAGGGTATCTCCCAGGGGTGAAGCCTGGTGAGAGCTCGGGTCAGGCAGGGCGGCGGTGCCAGGCCGTGGCTGCACTAATGGCTCCTAAAACCCTCCGTATTAATAGCTGCCTGTATTTATCAGCAGGGAGAGAACAGCCAGTGCTGAAAGCAATCCCACCCACGCTTAAAAATAGCCCTGCCAGGGCACGGGGAGAAAATCCATATGTTGACACGGGCGGGGAACGGCGCCGGCACAAAACGAGGCCCGGAGAATTGATGAGAGGGCGGGTTGGAAGCAGCCCTGTTAAATAATTCTGCAGGTCTGGAATGTGAGATGAACCTGGCCTGGGAGAAGGACTCAGACAGTGGAAATGTCTGTAATTAACCCAAAGCACAGGGCTCCAGCTGGGAGCTGTGGGAAGGGGGAGCAGCACGGATGCTCCTGAGGTGTCCCAGTGGCCAGAGTCGGGTCTCCAGAGCCCAGAGACATCAGGAGGCAAGAATTAGGCACCTCTAACACCCCCTAGATAACATCCTGCTGCCTGTCTGAGCTGCAAAAGCAGCTCTGAGGCTGGATGTGCCCAGAATCCACGTGGGGATGTCCCCAGCACCGGCAGCTCTGCTGCAGCTCCTAAAAGGTTCCGGGACACTGGGACGAGCCGAGTGTTTCCTACCATCACTAATTTATGTCCTGAGGTACTCTGCGTTTTACAGTTATTGGTAGCTGGTGATAAATAATGCAGAGGGCTGTGCTTTTCGATGCATTCAGTAAATACTTCCCTTGGACCCTCGAGTTTGCTCTCGAAAAGGCAGAGAAAAATGGGGGGAGCGCTCTCGTAAAATCAGGAGGGTTTCCGGGAAGAAAGAGAGAGGTTTTAAGGGTGGAGGGAAAGGAAGAGACCGTCTGGATTCTAAGCGCATCAGGAGGAGGAGGAGGAGGCCAGGGAGGGGTCCTGGGGGCTGGAGTGGTGCCCAAGCAGCCCCAGGAGAAGAGGAGCCACTTGCAGGGCCGGGACGCTGGAAATGGCAACCCAACAGCTCCCGGGACTTTCTGGCTCGGGATGTTTTTACTCCAGTGGCAAAAGTGGCTTGGGAAGAGCAGGTGTTAAGCAGGAGCCAAGCAGGGAGCAATATTCCCTTAATCCAGCAGTAAGTCCTCTCCCCACGGCTCCCGAGGATAAGCTGTGACTATTGATCCCCTGCTCGTGGTTCCACGGGGGTGCCAAGTCACTTAAACCCCGTTATCTGCCTGATGGAAATAAAGCTGCTCCTCAATTCCATCGCAGACAGGACTCCACGTGGGGGAAATGTGATTACTGAACACAATGAAATGACCACCCAAATGTTTTTTCCAGGGATTTAAAATGTTTTTCTCTCGCTACGATTCACCTAAAGCAACCCCCCCTGTTGCCACAATCCCTTAAAAACCAGGCCCCGGAAATCAATTTGATTACCTCTCTGAATTAAGTATGCACGAAGGAGAGTGATTGGGATCGATACAAATTAGGTTAAGTACTCCACTGTGTACAAAATCATTATGGGAACGAGGAACAATCAGAATGAAGATGCAAATAATCACATCGTCGGAGGAGCAGGGGGGGTGTGGAAGCTCCGGGAGGAAGATTTCCTGCTGCTCTTCCATCCCCTCCCAGGAAGCTCCA